AACCTTTGTCTTGCTTGATATAATAGTTATATTTAAGCCAAACTCCATTCAAGACTCAGAAGCCTAGTGGCTGATTCTCACATGGTGATTCTCAGTGAATACTGGGAATTGGCCATGGTTTGGCCACCTTTTAAGTTTTACATGCCAATTTTTTCTTCTTCTAACCCACTCTTCTTCATCTCTTTTCACCCACATTCAAGCTGTCCACTTTAATTCTCAGGAAGCTTTGTAAAGTTCATAGCAGATCGGATCATATACTTGTTGAACTGACTCATCTTATCCACAAAGTTTCAAACATGTGGGCACCTAATTAAAGCTTTTGCCTGATGATTTCAACAGATAAAAATGGGGAGAATTCCATGCTGCATTAACTTTGTATGAGCATAGCAGTATGGTTAGAAGAGGTCACAGACTAGACAGCTCAAGTCTGCCCACGCAGGAGGTTGCTGACAATCAAAGGCTCCCCAAAATGTGTAGCAGAGTGCTAACCTGGTATTTCTGAAACTTGTTCAAGAACTAATGCAACTAAAGAAACTGCCTCACTGTGTCTTCAATTTCTGAATTATCCCCTTCCCACAAAAATCTGAGTCAGAAACACTGATTTTCAAAAAGAACTTTTCTGCTAAAAATGTCTTTTAAGACACCATGAACATGAATTTACCACTTTCTCATTACTTAGACCGATTAAAAAACACATCAGTTCTGGCCAAATGCAATCAAAATGAAATTTATAAAAGGAAAACTTCCTTCTTTCCATATTACTGCTCTCCTCCTGAGTGTCCCTCAGAAGCTTCGGAAACAAGTTTTGAAAGTAAACTTTTCCTCTGTTCCAGGGAAGCGGGGAACCTGGGGCCTCTTGACCTATAAAACTCAGTATTTTGGAACATCCATAATACTCCCACATCTGTGCCAGTCAAACAGAGTCTTTCTTCAACAACTACCACCGAGTCAGGGCTGGACGGCAAGGCTTCCACCACTACAAGTTTACAAGGATAGGGCCCAAAGCGCTTTGGAAAAAAAGTCTCTACTTCAGCTTGCATTACAAACCACTGGAAAAGACAGATGGAGGGGATGACAGGAAAAGCAATAATTTCTTCTGGGTTTCCTTTCTGTCTGGATTCTAAGGAGACGAATACAAAATTCCACCACACATTGAAATGCTATCTAAACATCCTTGAAAATGTGGTCTTGCACTCTGAAATATGACCGCCTCCACTGCGGCAACCTGTAACCTATTAACATGAGAAGGTGAGGAAAGCCGACATTCCTGCAGGCTGGCTAATTTGGGGCCTGACTCTCCAATACTGCTCGTTTGTGACCACAGGTTAAAACATAAATAACTAAGAGATTCATATCAACATAGCATGACCTAACAAAAAGTTCTGATGAATCATTCACTTTATTTTCACATTCTTGGAATTTTAAAGCCATGAGACTCCCTTAAGTGTTTTCAGGTTTCTAGTGAGCCAATCTAAATGTAGGCTGAATCACACTACACAGTAGTTTTATTACTTTCAATAGTAGTAAGTTGGGACTAGTCATATACAATTCAAGCTTTAAACAACTTCAAAGAAACACACACACTAATCAAAATGCTGTTTTATGGTAAAGGGCTTTTGTTTGTTTACAATTAATAGTCTCACACAGACTAAATATGCAATACAGTTGCATAAAATGTCATTGTATATGAACTGTGTGTTCTGAGAGATGTGAAGATGAGGATGATTCAGTTCTTGCTTCAAGTAGCTTATAAACTTAGTCAAGGGGACAAGAACTGTTACTAGTAAGTCAAAGGAAATCATAAAGCCAAAGGAAAAGTACAAGCACAGGGCTGTGGGAGTTTGTGGGCGGAGATGATATACATCTAATTAAGGGATACTAGGATCAATTTTCACATCTGTAAAACGAGAGGAGTGGTCTAGATGAGTTCCAAGTCCCTTCTAGTTCTACAATTTTGATTCCTTCATACATTCAGATGAGCTAAACAGAAAATTTCATGGAAGACGCAGTATTTGAGCTTAGACAGGTAACATTTTGAAATGAAGCTACTTGAAGACAGAGAGGAGAGAGAGCATTTCAGACAAAAAGAAGTATGTAAGCATAGACCCAGAAAGTACAGGGCATGCTTATAGAGTGCTTAGCCTTCACTGTAGATAGATCATAACAGGAGATAAAATTGGAAAGGTAGAGTGAGGCCTTGAATGCCAAGCAAAGAAACTTGGGCCACTGAGGTTTCGAAGCGGTAGATGATATGACCAGACATACAGTAGGAAAGTTAAAGAGAGAATGAGGCTGGAGTGTTTACAGGCTACCCTGTTACTTTTTATTATCTACAAGGGTCCCATTTATGGGTCTCACTTGCCGAAGAAGTAATGCTTCATGGGAGAAACATAAACAGACAAAAACAAAGCAATAAGGACTAAGAACCATGCAAGGACCAGGACATAGGGCCAGTTTTCAGAACCTAGTATGTCTGAACACAAGTACTGATGACGACACAAGGAAGAAGACAGACTACTTACAAACAGGCCAATGGAAGATGATTATTAAGAAGTAAAGAAAGCTAGTCATGAAATATAGGACAACAGAGAAATGGATAAAACTAAAAAATGTAAAAGAAAAGGAGACTCATAACAACTGTGAGCTCATAGAATATAAGAGACAAGGAAATTTCTATGTAGGATTACATTCCACACCAAAAAAAAAATTCTGGGTAGCATGAAGAACCTTTTAAAAAATTAGCTGTACTAAAGAATGTTAGAGACAAATAACAGAACTGAAGCTATTACAAAGATGCACATCTGACCTAATTAAATTGGTACTGAAAAGGGAGGACCAGATACTGTATGAGAGGAAGCCTAGAAAAGCATGCTCAGCATTTCTGTTATGATAGCAATTCCTGAAATATGATGCCTAAAACAGAAGAACAGAATCCAAATTAAAAGGAAAATGGTTATAGATAACATCTGGCCCTGCAATCACTGAAGAATACCTCCTCCCCATTCACTTCCCCTTCTTGGCTAGATGCGAAAAGAACTATAAAACTGAAATGAATCTGCATTTACCTGTTTGCCAACAAAACTAGGTATGAGGAGTCATAGCCATGTCAGGTTAGTATAAGTCTTTTTTTTTGGCAATACAGGTATCTCCTGCTTTTGGAAGCTTCTAGTTACATCACCTTGCTTTTACAGAAGACCCACATTAGCACTAGCGTTTTCACTAACCAAAAGATGTTTTTTACAAAAAAAGGTGAAAAGCAAAAATAGCGGTGTTTGTTTTGCAGCGAGTCTTATGGAGGCAGTGAGGGCCCCCAGCAAAGAGAGTGGCCCAGCCAAGCTCCTTCCCGGGAACCACACTCAGCACATCGGCCCCAAGCCGCCATAGCTTTGAACGGCACCTATGAGAATCTGTGCTATAGCTCGATTTGTTTTGGGCATCCATTAGTAAGATGTGTCCCTAAAGTATCAGGAAAACCTAGAGAGGTGATTTTTGAGGTCTGGGAATGTTCAAACATTTTTCCATATAAATTAATGGTGCTGCTTCTTCACTTTGCACCATTTTGGCCTACAAAATGTTTCATAGGAAAACTCCATTTATGTACGGCATGAACTTTATTTCCATCTTGATTAGAAGAAATTTTTTCCTCACTATGACAAAATACACATAACATCTTAACCATTTTTAATTGTACAGTTCCATGGTACTAAATATACTGACACAACTGTGCAACCATCACTGCAATCCATACTCACAATTTTCATCTTGTAAAATTGAAACCCTATACCCACTAAACAGTAAGTCCCCTGTCTCCCCTCTACCCCTGACAACTACCATTATGTTTTTTGTCTTTATGATTTTTGCTACTCTGAGTACTTCACATAAGTGGAACCACAGAGTATTTGTCCTTTTGTGACTGGCTTCTTCATTTAGCATCCCGTTCTTAAGGGTCTCCCATGTTGTAACATATTGCAGAATTTCCTTCCTGTTTAAGGCTGAGTAATATTCCATTGTATGACTGTATGTATGTATGTATACCACATTTACTTATCCATTCTTCCATTGCCAGACACTTGGGATGCTTTCACATTTTAGCTATTGTGAATAATGCTCCTATGAACATGGGGATACAAGTATATACCCAGAAGTGGAACTGCTGGATCACATGGTAATTCTATTCCTGAGGACCCACCATACCATTTTACATAGCACCTATACCATTTCACAAGCCCACCAACAGTGCAATTTCTTTGCATCTTCACCACTTGTTGTTTGTTTTTGGGTAGTAACCATCCTAATGGCTGTGAGGTGGTCTCTCACTGTAGTTTAGCATTTCCCTAATGGTTAGTGATATTGAGCATCTTTTCAAGTGCTTATTGGCAACTCGTATATCTTCTTTAGAGAAATGTTTATTCAAGCATTTTGCTCATTTTTGCATTGGGTTTTATAGTTTTTTTGTACTTGAACTTTAGGCATTCTCTATATATTCTGGGTATTAATCCATTATCAGAAATACAATTTGCAAATATTTTCTCCCATTCTGTAGGTTGTGGTTTTACTCAGTTGATAATGTCTTTTGATGCACAGGTTGTCACTATCTTCTGCAACAACAAAAGTAATGTCAAAATCCCAAGTTAGCTGATAGATAAAAGTAGCAAACTTATTTAGCTACAGTACACAAAACAAAGGAGGGCACGAGAGACATCTACACTAAGGAGAAAGACAAGGAAACTCATTTTTCTCATTTCAGCTTACATGCCTGTGGCCCTAAGTGAGGTATGTTAACAATATATGCTCCTGATCCAAGAGACCTTGACTGAGAGCTCATGGCTGGGATAGGCAGCCTGCCCCTGCTACTAGTGGGATAAGTCAGGCACGTTTCCTACTGTGTATGGGACAGGTCAATAAGAAAGTGCTCTGCAACCAGGCAGATCACACATTGGTCAGTTGGGTGTTGAAGAAATCAGGGCAATATAATTAATATGGAGGGACAGGTTACTTACTTGCCTGCCATCCTGCCCCACATTTGTTTGACCTCTTACAACAGTTCGAATATTGTCATCCAGTCTCCTAGCAAAATAGTTCAAGGGTGCAAATCATTAAAACATCTTCTAGGCTGACCAAAAGAAAAAAGTTAGTAATGCATCCATCAACTTCTACAGACTGAGCCGACTTGTTCAGAACACCAGACAAGTTTGAATGACAGAAGGAAGGCTGAGGCCGTAGACCCAGCAGCAACAGTACTTATGAGCAGCCAAGCCCATTGTAAAAGTTATCTTTGTTTTTCAAAAGGTTATTTTTACTTAATATTCAGAGCTGTCCAAAAGGACCAATCTAGTTTTTAGTGTTTTTCATGGAGTAAACCAGGAATGGCAAAGTTCCTGAAATGTTATGGGAACAAGCCAGAGGATTTAAACGACCCCCACAAAATCCTCAGTAACTTCCTTGGGAATGTTAAAAGGGAAAAGGAGCCAAGGTGGGATATGAGATTGGTGCTTCGCTCTCTGAGCCCTGACTGGGCATTCTGTGTAGGCAGGAGGCAGATCTGTGCACTCCAGTTCCTCTTCCCCTTGCAGCTCAACAGGGGACATTTAACAGCAATTCAATCAGAGATATTTACATCAGTCAATTTCATTTTTCATTTGAAGAATCTGTTAAAGGTATGGTGGGAAAAAATAGAAAATAAGTGGTTTGCAAGTGATTTTTGAATCACCAGAGAATTTCCATTTTCTGTGCAAACCCTGGACAACTTAGCAGCCTCAGCTAGAATTACCATAGCTAAAGCCCACCATAAAATGAAGATGCTCCTTTGCACTTCCAAGGTACTCAGGTGAGAATACATTCGTGGCAGAAGTCTTCACTGAAAGACCCAAAGGTTGTAAAGGAAAAAAAAGTCTCCTGGATTCAAAATGAAAGCTTCCCCTCAACAAAAGTTAAAGAAAAAAAAAAAAAACCCAAAATACAACTATACTTGAAGTAATGGTATCAACTACTATCATATTAATTATAACGAACAAACATCGAGTATCTACTATGTGTCAAAACTGGACATCAAGAGGTGGTTAAATCAGAACAAGGCTATTGGGCAGGAAGGATAGTTGATGGCCATCCCAGACAATCGCATCCTGTATTAATCACAATATTTCATCTTGAGCCACCCCCAGGCTGACCAGCAGATCTTAACATACTGTTAGTTAGTGTGTGGCCAAGGCATACATATATAAGCCCATCTTCATATTTACACTTTAGGAATCAAAAAAAAAAAAGGTAAATCTGATAAGGAAATAAAGCCATTAAAATAGAGTAGAAATGCTTTTGTCTCCTTTTATAACCCAACTGTTTTGACTAGCCTATTAGGCTTCCTTACTTTTTTTTTTTTTCTTCAAGTAATTGAAGACTAACCAAAGCATTTAGTTCTTTGCCACAAGAATCATGTGGAAATCCAGGTAAGAGAATTATTTTTTAACAATCTTCATACACAGAAAACTTGAGATTTCAATGTACTTTTCATTAATTATTAATAATCAGACAGTATTACTTACCTTATTTTCAGTCTGATTTTGTTCACAACTTCATCTATGTTTGCCAGAGACTACAATAAAGAAGGGAAAGTGCCAGCTATTATTTCACTTTCTGGAATTCCTCTTTTACAGGGAAATGATGAGCTATAATGGCTATTTATGACATCTCAAACAATGTAATCATACAATATGATACAATTTTTACTTTTTAAAAAAGAGTATAGCAATAGGAAGTTGGTAACTATTGCAAAATCCAGCCTAGAGCCTATTTTTTTTAAAATAAAGTTTAATTGGAACACAACATGCCCATTGACTTACATATTATTTATAGCTGCCTTTGAGCTACAAAGGTAGAGTCAAATAGTTACAACAGTGATTGAATGGTCCACAAAACCTAAATATTTACTATCTAGCCCTTTACAGAAAGTTTGCTGACCCTTGGTACATAGCATCATGACAAATTCATACAACAAAACACAGCAACAAAAATGAATGAATGATGACACACACAACATGGACAAATTGTACTAATGTTTTAATGTTACACATACCAAAAAAAAGCCAGACATAAGAGCATATACTGCACTATTTCATTCATATAGTTAAAAAATGAGTGAAACTATTCTTTTGCGTTGAAGCCAGGATAGTGGTTTTCTCTGGGGGACGTAGTGACTGAGGAGGCAAGAGGGGTCATCTGAGATGTTTTAATAATGTTTTATTTCTTGATGGTGGTAGTTAGATGGCTGTATTCTTTGTGAAAACTCATCAGGTTGTACACTTAAGATCTGTATACCCCTCCACAATGTTCACTTCAATAAGTAAATAATTCTGTATTTTCTAAGTGTATGGGTGCTTAGAAAAGTCTGGAAGGATAAACACTAGTAGTGTAATCTATACTTGTAGTGTAATCTATGAAATCAGTAGCAGTAGTTGTAATCTATGAAAAGGAGGGATTTTCAGTTTTTCTCCTTTTTGTCTATGAGTATTTTCTAATTGCTCTATATTGACTATGTGTTGCCACTGTAATGATAATAAAGTTATTTCTATTTTTTAGACAGTGACAATAAAAACAAATGGACCAGTTCCAACCTTGGCGAGCAGAAAAACGTGAGGTAATGGTGCCCCCTAATGGAAAAGAGATAGTACAATTTTATAGCATCGTTTTAACTTGAGTTTTCAAAATCTAATTTTCTAAGTCCTCCTTTCGTTCTCCCTCAACAGATCTTTTACCTCAGAAGGAACTGGGAGTGATGCAAGAATTGTAAGTTGCTATTGGCAACCTGTGCTGGCAGGCGGAGGCCAGGAGCCTGCCAGGAGCGGATCTGGGAAGAGCCAGGTCACAAGTGTTTGAGATGTCCTACGGGGCCATTCATGTCTCTACTGTTCTGACACAGCCAATGCTTACACGGAATTTTCAGAAATCCAAGAACAGACTTGGAGGTAAAGGTGAATCCCAGAGAAAAGAAGTTATTTTAATTGAGGAATCCATGTCAGGTCAGTCACTTCAAAACCAGAGTGAGTATAAATCATTATGGTAACAAGAGCTGAACTGGAGGACCCGGATTGGCACAACTCCGCCACTACAAACTTTCTGTAAGTCTAGAGGGCAAGCTGATTTTATCCTCTGAGTTCCCATTTTCTCATATACAAAATGAGATTAACAGTTCCTGCCTTGCCTATTTCTGCTGGAACTCATTCCTTTAAAACAATGTTTTTTTTGGTATTTAAAGAAAACAATTTTAAAAGTGTTAACATGATCATCAGGGAAATGCAAATTAAAACCACAATGAGATATCACCTCACACCAGTAAGGATGGCCAACATCCAAAAGACAAACAACAACAAATGTTAGCGAGATG